TGGGGGGGGGTCCGTGGGGCTCATGGTTGCCCCCGCACCCGGCCCATCCTCCGCTGGCCGCTGGGGGTCCGGCGGGTGGCCGTGGGGCCCGGGGCTCGGGCGCCGGAGGCAAAGTCCATCACCTCGGGGGGAGCCCGGCGCATCTCGCCGGCCCCCATCTCCCGCCGGATCTCGGCCAGCGCCTCGGCCGGGGAGGTGAGGAGGCGTTGGAAGAAGCTCTCCCTCCCCGCCGGCCGCTCCTGGCAGGTGAAGGTGACGGCCGTGCCGGTGTCGGCCTTCATCTCCCGCGAGAAGCCGTCGGAGGTGCCATCGAAGCAGCGGCCGATGGCGATCTCCTTGGCCAAGCGCGGGTTCTGGTCCGTCACCGTGTAGATGCCGTAGTTGTGACCCAAGGGGTCGACCGGGGCCAGCATGGTGAAGGCGGCCGTGTGGTTGTTGTCCGCCACCGGCGGGTGACGCGTCAGGTACTCCCGGAGCAGGCTGTTGACGGCCGTGCGTTGGCAGCTGCCTTGGGGGATGATGGAGACCAAGGTGCGATCCACCAAGCTCTGGTCGAAGAGCATCCCGCTGCACTTGAACTCCACGCAGGCGCCCGAGGTGTTCTCCAGCAGCATGTCCCGCACGCTACGGGTGTCCCGCAGCCCATAGAGCTGCCCCTGGGTGCGGGGGTGGCTGCCCCCCACATTACGGGACCTCACCATGTACTCCTGCGGCCCCTCGATCCGCACCTTGATGAAACATGCCCTGAACTCCTGAGGGTTGGGCCACCAAGAGAGGTAGTCGCCGGTCCAGGAGGTCAGGTCGCTCTCCTTGAAGGGCACCACGTTGTATTCATACTTGTCCACCTCCACGCGGTAGAAACGGAGGTGGTTGGCACTGACTGGTGCCTCCTCACACTCCTCGAGGCTCCGGTAAGGGTAGATGGGACCATTGGTCTCGTCAACGTTGTTGGGGTCAGGCTTGGCCACGTTGATCTGGAAAGCTGTCTTCTTCAAGTTGGGGTCATCGTGGTCCAACCGGCGGTAACCCAGCTTGCCCAGGTAAGGTTGGGACACCCCAACGGCGTTGGGGTTGAGCTTGGGGCTGGAGGCCACAGCTTCCAGCTCCTCCCCACCCAGCGTGGCGGTGACGTAGGCCGAGTAGGCGTCAGGGCGCTGGCCATCGCAGAAAGCGGGTAGACAAGCACCGTTGGGACCCGTCACCACGCTGTCGAAGCGACCCCACGCCCGGGGGTTGGAGGAATAACCAGGCTGGGGCTCCAGGTTGATGAGGCTGATGACCACCCCTTCCAGTTGCTCGTAGGGGTTGAACTTCTCGTTGCTGTAAGCCCTGACCTTGACGAAGCAGCGGCGGTCCTCCGGCACATCCAGGTTGAAGAGACGCCGCTCCCGGATCTCCAGGTTCCCCACCAGGAAGGTCCTCTCCTCCCTTTTCCCTCGGTTCCCCCCGGCCGGCCGGAGGACCCCTTCCTCCTCCCACAAGCCAGTCTCGGGGTTCAAGGACCACAACTTCATCTTCTGCAGGTGCTCCGGCATCCAGACCTGCCCCGCGTCCATCCGCACCTCCACCGGCCCCGTCTGCAGCGCCGCCCCGCTCTCCCCTTCCCGAAAATCCACGGCGAACATGCCGTAGGTCCGCAGGGGGACGATCTCCCCCTCGGCATCGGTGAAGCTGAGGTCGCTGGAGGCAGCACCAGCCGTCGCCATGTCCCTGGGGTCTAGGAAGGTGACACTGGCTTTGACCGTGCCCTTGAAGACCTCCCCAGAAGGACGGAGGAAGGCACCAGCAGGAAGGACGAGCTCCCCGACGGGTTCCCGGCCGCTGGCCTCCCCCAGAGGGATGGCGTTGCTCTGGTTGCCATCCAGGTCCACCGGCTCTTTCTTCCGCTGCATCTTGACCTCCTGGTAGACGGCACCTCCCCGGCGGTTGAAGGGCAGGACCTTGATGGCATCCACGAACCTCTGCTGCCGGTCCACGAAGCGAACCACCAAGCGCTGCGTGTCTGGTGGCACCTCGATGGTGAAGGAGCCCTTGTAGCCGGTGAAGCCCACCTTCCTCCCACCCAGGAAGATCTGCCCGAAGCGCAGGGGCTCGCCGGTGTCGGCCGCCGTCACCCGTCCCCGCACCAGGACGCGGGGCTGGGCGCAGGGTCCGCAGCCACACTCGGCCACCACCTTGACGGGCAGCAGGGAGCCGGCGCAGGGGATCTCCCGCATCTCCATCCTCCGCACCCCACAGCAGAGCCCGGCCTCTGCCCCACACCCCGACTGGCCATCGGGGCCACCGGCGCACGGGGCTGGGGGGCAGCGACCCACGTTGTAGTAGCGGGAGCCGGTGGCATCCTGAGGACACTCGCTGGGCAGCTCCACCAGGCTGGGCTCAGGCTCCGGCTTGCAGCTCTGCTGGCCCTGGGCTGGCGAGAAGGGGGTTGAGGAGGGGAGGATTTAGGGTGACTGTCCCCCCCCCACCACATGCCCCATCCCGGGGTGACACCGGTGTTAAGGGAGCCCGTCCCGTCCTCACCCAGCACGGTGAGCTGTGCCGGTGCCGATCTGATGGCGCCCGCCTCGGTGCTGGCTTTGCAGTGGTAGGTGCCAGCCTGCTCTGGTGCCAGCCCCCGCAGCGTCAGGTGGTGGCCGTACCGGTGCACCTTCTTCTCCAGCATCGTCCCGTTGTGGTACCTACAGGGATGGGCTCAGTGGGAATGTGTTTTTCCCCAACCGCCCCCCATTTCTGGCTTCTTTTCTCCACCCAGACCCCGCTCACCAGTAGTATTTCTTGGGGACGGGGGTCCCCGAGGCTTTGCAGCAGAAGGTCACCTCCTGCCCGGCCACCCGCACCTTGGACTTGGGGTGCAGCACCATGTAGGGCTTCTCTGCAGGGCAAGAAGGTGGCAGAGGATACAACGTGCCACCCCAAAATCACTCCCCCTCCACCGTGCATCCTCTGGAAAGAGGGGGTGCCCCTCCAGGGGGTGCCCAGCTTGTCCCCCCCAACACCTCCCACCCCACACAGAATCACAGAATCTTCTAGGTTGGAAGGGACCTTAAAGATCGTCTTGTCCAACCGTCAACCTAACTGACAAAAATAGACACCCCCACAACAAACAAGGAGCATCATCACTAAACCAGACCTCCCAGCACTACATCAACCCGGCTTTTGAACACCTCCAGGGATGGGGCCTCCACCACCTCCCTGGGCAGCCCATTCCAAGGGCTGAGAACCCTTTCAGGGAAAAAATTTTTCCTAATATCCAGCCTGAACCTCCCCTGGCGCAACTTGAGGCCATTTCCTCTTGTCCTGTCGCCTGGGACTTGGGAGAAGAGACCGACCCCCATCTCTCTACACCCTCCTTTCAGGGAGTTGGAGAGAGCAATAAGGTCTCCCCTCAGCCTCCTCTTCTCCAGTTCCCTCAGCCTCTCCTCATCAGACTTATTCTCCAGACCCACACCTCGATGCTCACCCAACCTCTGCAGCATCAGGTGTGCCACCGCCGCGCCGGAGCCGTTGGTGACGAGGGGTGCCAGCCCGGGGGCGAAGCCTTCACGGTGGGCACTGACGTTGGCAGCGGTGCCCTCGCACACCCCCTCGGCGGAGAAGTGCCCCCGGGCATCACTATGGGCCACCAGCACCGGGGGGTGGCCATCCAGGTAGATGCGGGCATCCGGCAGCGCCGCGCCGGTGGCCGAGACCACCGTGCCCTGCAGCGTGTGCCCAGGGCAGGCTGGAGGAGGGGGGGGACACACATAACAGCACTCAGACCCCACCACCGGTGGGGTGATGGGGTTATATGGGTGGTGGGTACCAGGGATGGGGGTCCCCATGTCCCCCCCTGAGGGCAGGTACCTGGGCAAGGCGAGGGGGGGCATTTCTGCACCTCGACGGGGCGGCCGGGGCACGGCACCTTCTTGGTTTTCTTGCAGCTCCGGCGTCGGACGCGTGTCCCGGTGCTGCCGCAGCTGCGGGAACAGGGGCCCCAGGCACCCCACGCCATCCACGCCGACTCTGGGGAAGGGGACACACACACACACACGCCGGGCAGGCATCGGGCACCACGCTCTCCCCCAACCCCAAAACCCTCCCGGTGTCTCCCCACCCTGGGACCCTCCATCCAACCACCCATCAAGGTGTATGAACCAACGTGGCCCCTCTTATTGGAATTAAGCTGATGATGTGTGGGCAGGGGGGGCCGGGAGAGGAGCTGAGGGTGGTTGGGGGGCAGTGGGTGCCATGGAGGGGGGTGTCAGGGTCCCTACCTGGGCAGGGGCCGGCGCTGCATGGCCGGCGCTCCACGGCTTTGCCCTTGCACTTGACCTCCTTGAGGGCGGCCACCGGGCGGGCGTTGAGGCAGCGGCGGCTGCGGGTCTGGATGCCGCTGCTGCCGCAGGCGCTGCGCGAGCAGGGGCTCCAGGAGGACCAGTGTGACCAGTAGATATGCTCTGGGGGGGCATGAGGAGGCATTAACAGGGGGGCACCCACCACCTGGCTCCACGTGATGGGGTACGTTGCCCCCCAGGGATGATGCCCGGCGCCCTGCACCCGGGGCTGGGGAGGTGGTTGATGGATGGAGGGAAGCTCTGGTGAGGCTGCAGCTCCCGGTGGGATGCAGAAGGGGTTGACAAGCAAGGGGTGAACACACCAATGGGTATGGGACACCCCCCTCCCCAAAAAATACCAGCAGGGTCTGGGGCAGGGGGGGGAAACACTCACCCAGCGGGCAGAGGAAGCGGATGTGGTAGTTGGAGCAGGTCTTGCCCTGCGGCTGCTCCTTGTTGACGCAACGAAAGCCCTTCTTGGGGCTGACGTGGACCACCTCGCCCACCTCCTCGGGCAGCTCCCACTCGGTGGTGCGGGCCTGGATGGCCACCGGCCGCTGGCAGACGCGGCCCCGGTAGTAGAAGCGAATGGCCTCCAGGCTCTCGTAGTCCCCGTCCCCCCCGGGGTGGTCGATGTTGAACCAGGACGTCCACTCGGCTCCTCTGCCTGGCAAGAAGAGAACCCTGAGGACACGCATGGGGAGAAGACCCTTCTCCATCCCTAAGCACCCCGGGGTGCCACCGGGGCTGTGGGGACAGCTTGGGGACACCAAGGAGGAGCGATGAAGCACGTGGGGATGGAGGGCACCATGGGAGACTCGGGGAGCACAGGTGGACACCACGTCCCTGCTGTGAAGGTGCCATGAGGACACCACCACGGGGGGAGATGGCACCTCCAGGGGTGATGTTGCCCTTTGGGGTGTCCTGGCAGAGGGTCCCCGATAACAGGGTGTCCTGCGGGGGGCTTGGGGACATCCGTACCTGCCGTGTCCAGGTCGAGGTCTGCCAGGTTGGGGGCTGCTTTCCAGGGCTTCCCGGCCGTGCCGCTCTTCCCCGGCTCCGAGTCGTTCTCCAGGGGTTCTGGGGGAGGCACAGGGGGGGGTGAGACCACCCCCCTCCCCAAGGGCACCCAGAGGTGCCCGGCAGGTTCCTCCCCGAGCGGTGGGCACCAAAGCAAAGACCACGGCACGGACCTGGCGCCACACAGGGCCCCAGCAGCCAAACTGGGAGGCGGCAGGAAATTGGGCTGTAAAACCACAGCCCCCGGGAGGGGAAGAAAAAAAAAGGCATTCGGCAAGTGGAGGCACTGCTGGGGAGGGGGTGCTCAATGTGCACCCCAGGAGGTGGATGTCACCACGTCCCACGGGAGTGAACCCCGGGGAGATGGGGTCTCCAAGGACAGCTCTGCCCACCCATGTGGGGGATCCCAGGTGCTGGGACCTGGGGGGGTTTAAGCCATGCAGGGGGGGCACCATCCCTCCACCAGCAGCGATCCCACCGCAGGGCCACCTCCTGTCCCCTCCCCAGGTGGCAGGGGAGCAGGGGGACAGCAGGACCCCCCGCAGCCCCTGCTCTGCAGGTGGATGGAATTTGTCCCCAGACCAGGGACATTCCTGGTCTCGCACCCGATGCCAACCTTGAGGAGACCCCCGTGGGGCTGGTGGGGGCTCAGAACCAGGGGGCAAAAGCCCCATGGAGCAGCTGGGGTGACCGGTGACCACCAGCCATGGGGTGCTGGAGCTGGCAGGGCTGGTGGGGACGTGGCACAGGGCACGTCCCCGTCCCTCCGGTGACACGGCTCCGGGGAGGACAGAGCCACCCTGCACCTCGCCAACGTGTCCTCCTGTGGGCAGGTGCCACCAGGACCACCCTGGCCGTCACCACCACCCCTGATCCCACCACACATCTGTCCCCACCGCACATCTGGCGAGCGCTCAGCCCCATCCCCATCCTGCCCCACATCTCCACCACCAACCCCCCAACCCCAAGGAGACCAAGGGGTGTCCCCTGACAGCACCGAGGTGTCCCCCGACGGCACCGACGTGTCCCCTGATGGCACCAACATGTCCCCCCACCCCTGGCACCGCGGTGGGGTGGCAGCCCCCATCCTTACCTGTGCCCCCAGCCCCGTGCAGGGCGGCCAGAGCCAGGAGGGCCAACGCCAGCTCCCCCATGGTTGCCCGCTCCGGCGGCAGGTCGGCCGGTGACTGGGAGGGCGGCGGGACGGTGGGTCTATATATGTGAGGGCTTTCCCCCTCGCG